TTTAATATAAAAAAATTATAAAGATTGATTAAAATTTGAATAATTTTTATTAGAAGTAATTATTAATTTTTATATTAAAATACAAATCTTTTTGTACTGATCCATAATAATATATATTAATTTAAATTAATTAAATATATATATAATAATTATTTATATATTTAAAGTGAAATTAATCTTTAAAATAAATAATATAAAGATAAAATATAATATAAGAAATATAAAATAAAGATTAAGCCAAAATAAATATAATTCAAAATTATTATAAAACTTTTGATATAAATTAATAAATTATTTATAAAAGAAATTTTTATTAAAATTCAAAATATATAAAATATATGATATTAAAATTATTGATATTAATTTATATTATATTATCTAATATAAATTTATATTATATTAATTAATATAAATTTATATTATATTATTATATATAATTATATTATATATGAATACATAAATTTATTAATTAAATGAAATTATATAATAAATAATATATCTTTATAGTAACTCTTATAATTATAAATCAAATAATTAATTTTATTAAAATTTATAATTTTATTAAGAAATTATTTTTATTTTTATATTAAATAAAATTTATAATTTATAATTTAATATATAATATATTTTTTTAATAAGAATATATAAATTATGATTAGTTTAATAAAACAAATCAGAAATAAAAATAAATATAAAAAAATAAAAAAAATAATCTTTAATTAATTAATTATAATTAATAAATAATTAATAAAATTTTATATGTAGCTCTAGATTATTTGTTAAATTAAATATTACATGGTTAAGTATGAAAAATATTTAAAAATTATATTGATTATTATATAAAAATATGACAGATATGAAAAATCATATTTGTAAAGTAATGGAATAAAACTTTTATTTCAAATTATTTATTAAATTAATTTTCTTTTTGACATATATAATTGTAATATGTATATAATATATAATATATGTATAAATGATAATACATCAAAGAAAAATACAAAAAATTCTAAATCTCAATTAATATAAAAATTACAAATAAATTATTTTAAAGTTAATTATTAACATAAAAATTAATTTTTTATTATGTAGAATTTTCAACAATATTATGATTATGATTATTATTATTAGTCGTAGTATTGTTATCAATAATGTCATTTGTCAGTAATGATGATGGTCCGTTATTTTTTGCAAACGCTGAGAACACGGGTATTCCACTATTTGCTTCAGCGACACTTGGTCTCCTCCACCCACGATCCGACGCAGCACTTCCACGTCTTCGTATCTCATGATTTTCACTATTAACACTATCGATTATTTTATTTGGAAGCAGTGAATTAATATCGAATGATGGAACTTGTCTTTTTGACAATCCTTCAGCCAACGATTTTGCACGTGCTCGAGTGTATCGAAACAGTGATCTTTGTTGTTCTTGAACATTTTCACTTATTTCTGAACTTTGAGATTTGAAAAATGATAATGATGGGACTTTATTATTGTCGTTGTTATTCTTATCATCGTTGTTATTATTTATTGTTATAGGTTCAGACATCATTTGTTCAGATTTTCTTAACGACAAAGTTCTTGGAGTCGTTGGCCTTGTTGTCTCATCCACGTTTGTTCCTGTTGACGATGAGGCAGCAGCAGCAGATTCTTCAGTAATATTGGACTCAGATTTTGATTGTTCTTGTGGTGGTGCTGTTTCTGTTGATTTTTCTTCCTTTTGTTGTTCTTGTTCCTGCTGTTCTTCTTGCTGCTGCTCTTCTTCTTGTTGTTGTTGTTGTCGTTCTCTCTCCTGTTGCAATTGTTGCTGTATTTGTGCTTCTTGAGGCAAGAATTGCAACAGTTGTTTCTTCCTTTGTTCTTGAGCCTCTTGTTTTGCCTTGTAACTCTTTAATTTGACAAAAAATGGTGATGCAGGAGGTAAAGGCAGTGGTGGAGGATTTACACGTGGCGTCTGCTGCGAGAGAACATAAGGGCTTGGTGTTATTCGTGAAGAAGCAGGAGGAAGCGGAAGCGGTGGTGGATTTCTTGTCGTCGTGGTCGTCGATGTTGAACCCAAATTGATTTTTGCCGGGGTAGCTGGTTTTGTTTGCGTGGAGGAAAATGGGCCTGGAATTGTGGTAGCAGGAGGTGAATTTAATGGAGATTTTGGTGTTTGGGAGTTTTTCCGTGAATTCGAATTTGAAGATGATGAAGGAAGTGGAATTTTAGATCCTCCACCACTATTCGGTGAAGTTGGGGGTAATGGCAAGGGTGGAGGACTCAAACGAGCAGGAAGTGGTGGTAAAGGTAACGGCGGAGGAATGTGATTACGTGAAGAAATACGAGATGAGGGTGTAGTTGGGGCGGATTTTGATAGTGGAATTGGGAGTGTCGGAGGAGTTAATTGTGAAGGCAAAACAATTTTTGACGGGCGCTTTTCTTTTGAGGATGTAAATGGAAATGAAGCTGTACTCGAAGATGAAGACGAATATGAAGATGATAATGATTGTGTTGATGAAACACTACGTAATGGCCATCTTTTTTCCCCACTTTGTTGTTGAGTTCCTGAAGAAGTAGATCGTGAGTGCCATTTTGAAGTTGGAGGTGGCAGCGACGGAGCTTTAAGCGATTGCGAATTTCTTGGCGAGTGGTGTTTTGTCTTTGATGTAGTTGGCGTAGAAGATCTGGAGGAAGGTGGTGAAAATTCTGCAGTCATTGCCGTCGTAACCGGTGAATCTGGAAGTGGAGGAATATCTGAGGATGAATTATTATTTCGAGAAAGTGGTTCAGGAGTTGAAGCAGGAGAATTTTCTGTTGAGATTGGTGGTGATGGTAATTTAGTATGGCTGATGTTACTATTATTTTTATGAGCTGAAGAATTACGTGTTGACGATGATAAATAAGAATCTTTTTCCAGTTCTTCTAAAAGCGTCAAGGGTCTCAATTTCATATTTTGACCTGCAATCAAATTCGGTGTTTGTTTAATACGGTCCCTTTGCTGTTCTCGTTGTTGTTGCATGGACAGCGACTTTGAAGTCGGTAGTGATGGGGCGCATTGTTGTTGCACTGGTTTAACTTGTGCGGCAATTAATGTCGCCGATTGCTTAACTTCAGCAATTACACTTGCCAATTTTTTGACTTCTTCATTTACATTCACGTATGGTCTACCACTGCTACTGCTAGTTTCTGAAAATAGAGCCATCGGTTTACTATTGCTTGTGGTCTTTTCTTCGGATATGAGTGTGGATGATGGTCTTGTGATAGTATTTGTAGATGAAATAGTAATGTTTGTAGACGATGTAGAAGTAGCGGGTTTATCATTACTAAGAGATGGTATCCTCTTTTCAATCACCAAAGAAGCGTTATTAATATTAGCAGCAGCATTAGCACGCGACAACTCTTCCGCAAGTGTTACGCGTAATAACTCCTCAGCGAGTGTCACTCCTGCTAATTCCTCCGTGAAAGTTTGTAACTTCGGATCTTCAAAAATGGGGGATGTTAGTATTTCTGGACCGTCCGATGAAGATGGGTCAATGATGATAGTATCTGAGATTGTTAATGATGATGGTAATTGTAATGTAGGCTCAGGGGTAGAAGTTGTAGAACAGGTTGTTGTAGAGTTGGTAGAAGTTGAATCCTCTGTTGGAATAGGTGGTAGTTGTTTTTCACTATCATCATCATCATTATCCGTATCTGGATCTTTCGGAAGAAGTGGTAAATCCTTTGTTGTGGTTTTCAAGTCATCGTATTCAGTAGCAATTAGTTCTGCTAATAAGTAATCACCTTCAATATTAGCGGAAAATTGTTCATGGTTTCTTACTTCATCGATATTATTATTCTCAGATGATGACGTCAATTCTGAGATACCTAATGATGTCTCGGATTCATTGACAGTTTCTTGGTCAGTTTTTGTTGATTCAATTGGTTTTTCGGTAGGTACAACATTTTCTGTCAATAATTCTTGTTGCCCCTTTACGTTTTCTTCATCGACAATTGGTTCCGTTGATGAGTCTTCAATCATCAATTTTTCTTCTGCAATTATAGGATGATGTTTCTGATCAAGAACAGCAACATCTGTAGTCGTTGTTATCGCAGATTTAGAATCAAATTCATCTTCAACAGACAAAATTTCTTCCTCGGAACTAGCCACTAAAAGATCTGCCGTCACTAAGAGCCTTGGTTTTTCTTTAGTTAGTTCCAAAGAAGAAAGTATTTCATCATTTTCATCTTCTTCTTCTTTAGAGGTTGTGATTGACGGTTGTTGTTGTTGTTGGTCTTTGTGAACTTTTTCGGTAGATGATGTGACATCTGTGAATGAAATATTTTGTGAATGTTCATTTGGCTCAATTATAATAACAGTATCTAACGTATTATTGTCATTATCTGCTTCAGAAACAACAATTTCTACGGTCTTTAATTTATTAACATTATCTTGGACATTATTTTCATGTGTTTCGTCTTCATCATCACCAATAACAACATTACTTTCTTCACTCTCATAGTTCTTTGTTTCCATGGATTCTGATTCAGAAACACCAATAAAATCAACTTGTTCTTTATCTTGTTCCTGTTTTTGCGATTCATCAATATTATCATCATTATCACTATTATGCATTGGTTCAGGTGAAAAAGTGTACGGAATTTCCACATGATTGTTATGGTCAGACTTTTCTGATTTTTGTTCCTGCTGTTTTTCAACGTTTATATTAGACATCAACGACACATCTTGGTCATCAAACGAAGTAGTTGAAATTGAAGTATCCGTAGTGGCTACAGTGTCATTTGAAAAAGTGGACATTCGATTACTCCCCTCAGAAGAAAACGAATCAGAGTTAGAGATCATCGAAATGCGTGCGTGTTGAGCTGCGATGATTGTAATAGGAATCAATGGTTGTTCTTGATGATGATGATGATTATTATTATTAAGCGACGTCACTATCAAATTGTTATTGTTAGCGCTATCATTTTCGGATGACGATAATAATGTAATATTCGTTCTTAACTCTTCTCCACCATTATTGTTAACATTACTGTTTTCAAGTTTGATTTCCTCAGCAGCTTGTTCTTCCTTAGTATTAATTATAAAGGTAGGAGTAAGCGGAGTCAACGGTGGAGGAGTAGCAATCGGTGGTTCAAGTGTACTAATTATGACAACATTCTCTTGATTAACTGGTAGTTGCTGTTGTGGTGATATCTTTTCATCAATATTAGTAATATTAGTATTATTAATACTAGCATTGTCATTTCCATCATCAGCGAAAATATAATTGTCTTCAATGGTATTTTTCTTTATTTTGGAATTATTGCGTTTCGTGGCTTTTTTATCTTTAATATTAACATTACTAATGCCACCACTACTAGTACTATAAATCTGCGGGACAGGGGGCTCAGGCAGTGGTTGCTCATTTGATCCATGACTATTAATGCTATTTCCAAAGCCAAGGGTACGCATCAACCGATGCCCTGCTGACTTCTTTCGTATAGGCGTATTAGACTTCATTGACTTCGTAGACGTAACAGATGATATGGATGATACAGACGACGATCGTTGGCGTCTTGGTATTGGTGAGTATTCAGAAGAGTCCTCAATAGATGATGAATTCGATAAGCGATTGATTATTGGTGTCGTTGGGTTTAATGAAAGAACGCGAGATGTGGCAAAGAATTGGGTTAGCAGTGGTCCTATTGGGAGGCGAGGTCTTGTTGTGTTGTTTGATGAAGAGGACGACGATGATGATCTGCCATTATTCCCTGGACGTGAACTTGTTCCGTCAGCGTTGATTATTGGTATTGGTGCTTCGATCGCACGTATTTGGTGCCATGCACGATCTGGCGCGTGTAACATCATATCACGTAAATATTCAACTTGTGCGGCTGTATCGGAAGGTCGTATTGTTGCTGACATACTCACACCATCAGACTCAGTTGACTCATCAGTTTTCATATTATAAACCGATGCAGCACGACTTCCATTACCACTTCCAGTTCCATGTCTTCCGCTACCCGTCGATGAATACACATTAGGTCTCATACCAAAACTATACGACTGCATGGTCCGCTGACGATCCCACTCAATAACCGTCATCGACCACGACACAGCATTCCACTGTACCTTCAACCCATTAATCTCGCCCTTGATAATCTCTAACGCTTGTTGTATCTTCCTCACCTCCTCCGGGACATTTTGGAAATCATCCGGTTCAAAAAAATAATCCTCGACGTTCTGTTCAGCCACTTCGCAGAAATTGTCTAAACTTTGTAAATATCGCACAAGGTCTTGTGTGAAATAGACTTTTGAGGCTTGGAGGATTTGCATTGCGCGGCGGGAAGAAGCGTATAGGCATGCATTGAATGTGGCGTGTTGGAGCGCGTCGAATAAGTGAAATGGGTAGAGAATACAGAGACCAGAGCGATATGGTTCGCGGATTTGGTGAGGTTGTCGCATTGGTTTGACTATTAAGATTACGCGGATGAATGGTTTCATCGAATTTGCTGCGGTATTGAATGATCCGTTGGCTGTGCTTGTTATTGTTGTGGAAGTTGTTTCACCGGCTATGGATGTAGCGCCGCCTGTTGAATCAGAGGTTTTTATTGCTGAATTGATTTCTTCTTCTTCTTCATCCTTAGACCGAGGTTCCGCTAGTTCTAACGTTCCAACTTCCATTTCGCCGGCTGATCCTTCTTCTAACGCAGTTACAACTTCATCTTCGTTTGAATTCGACGTTGTACTGCCGTCTTGACCAGATGATTCGTTGATAGCTTTGATGTTTTCCTGTGTGACTGCAGCAGGCGTTATTGAAATTATGTCAACAGTAATTGCATCATTCTCTTTAACATTTTCTTCATTGTCTTTATTTTGTTCTTCCTCAGTATGATCTTTTGGTGAACATGATTCTTGAATTTCATTTTGATTTCCATTTTTTATTATATCCCCTTGAATTTCAATGTCAACATTTTTTATTTGCTGCTGTCGTTCTTTTTGATGATCCTGATTCTGATGATCATTATCAAGAGAAATAAGATGTACGCCGGGTAACGGCGGTGCATCAGAAAACGACGGAATTATTGCATGTGCCAAAATGGCTGGTGCTGTTTTTCTTTTTTCACTTTTATTCATGAACGGCAACGATCTTCTTTTTTCTTTTCTTGATATTTTTTCACTTCTTGATAATGATGATGAAGAATGTAACTGGTGATAATGAGTATTATTATTTGTATTCATTGATGACGAAGGAGTATTTTCGGTAAATGCAGACGTATTCATGTTATGTCCCTCGATATTATCATCTAATTCACCCATCATCGTAAACATTTGATTATTCTGCAAATCCAAATAAATATCGACCGTTTGCTCGCAATAAATATCATGCGAGTCCCACGTAAGATTCGTGTCAAGCTGTAATTTATGATACGAATCCATAAATGACGTCTGAAATCTGCCAAAAGTGGTTGATGATGATGACGTATGAGAAGACGAGTGGTGGTCATCAGCCGCAGCCCCCACCAAATCCATAAAACAATCGGGACTCAGACAAGTCAGCGATTTCACCCACGATGCTTCTTCCGGCGTGATATTTGCGTCGTCACGAATTTTTTCCAATGGGATGAATTGTTTACGATCTTTTGGGACTAATACTCTGATTCCTTGAAGTGTGCTTTCGGTGTACAGTACTCCTAGGTACAAACCGGGTGACAACTTTGATTGTCGTGAACACCACTTTTCAATGTAATTTGTCCAGACGGGTTGCCCTTCTTTTGAGTAAATCGAACTTGCCTCGTCAAAATTTTTCCATTTTAGTATTCCAGATTTGATCAAGTCCGGGGCAATGTCATCTTTGAATTGCTGTGGAATATGTTGCATGGTGACAATAAATTTCGATTTTGATGAGGACATCGGGACTACATGTTCATATAATGTGCCCAACGTGTCTAATGATAATTCACTTTTCAGTTTCACAACAGCTTGGCCAAATGCACGCGCCCACATAGAGTCTTGCTCACTAGCGACATATTCTTCATTATTATGATTGCTACTATTACTACCACCATCATTTGAATGTGCAGAATGTATAGAATCCGTATCACTAGCATTATCATCTTTATCGAAATCCGTGGATGTCGTCCAATCCAACGACGTACGAAGTGCAAGCGAGAACTCCTCACAGTCTGTCTCAAAATTTCCAAAGATTCGTTGATCACGGATCACTTCCACTGTGGGAAACATTCTCGATCCGGATGTTATCAGTATTTTGCTGTCGCTTGTGAAGAGGATCGCAGAGAGATAAATCGTTTCCTGCTGATATCGTGTTTTCAAGCATGTTTTTTGACTGAATATCCCGCGTCGCTTTGTGGGTTGAATGTTGGGGCTTAGTGATGTTGTTGGCATCGAGCGCTGATTTCGGATTGATCACAGATCAATTAATGAATATTACCGTGACTGTAAATCAATAAATTACGAATAAAGTCAAACCTTTTTTGGATTTTCCTCATTGTACGTTAATTCCAAATACTGTGGAGTCTTTTTTCGTACAATTAATGTATCCTATATATCGCGTAAAAATATTAAATAATCAATAAGAATTCGGCCAATTTAGATAACACTCAGCGTGTATATAATTTTTTTTATTTTAACCTCAGCTGGATATGATGATAAAAGATGTGACTCGCATAACCAACTCTTGAACAATAAACTGTAAAGAGCATAGTTCCACGAATCGTATATTCCTAGGGTTCTACAAGCCTAAAAATTGATTTGAAGAGAAAGTTTGATCAACATGTTACATGTAAAACATAAATTAAACCAATCAAAGCTTACCCGTTCCAGAACTGCTTGCACTGAAGTTCCTTGTGTGTATTCTACGTGAACTGGTCTGTCACGACCTTCTAGCCTTACTTGTATTAGACACACGCTACGAAATATGTTATGTTAAATTCTCGATTATTACTATTGATTCACGTAAGAAAGGGATACTTACAAGTCCATAGCTTCATGTGTACATATGATTATGTATTATAATAGAAAATTATGCTATTTTGTTCGAATATGTGTATTGTATTATTATTATTATGTATATGATGTATGTACTTTTCTCGTTCTTTCGTTACTTTGTGCAGAAATATCTCCTCCTTTTCTTTTCTTTCTTTCTCTTTTGTATAATTCGTAGACAGTGTGTGTTGTTTCCTATGTTGTTTGGTTGTTACGGTTGCTTGGAATATTACTAATATGTGACAAACATAAAATTTTTCGTAGTTTTTGTATATATCGATATATGTGTGCGTGTGTGTGTATATATATCGATATATAGATATGTATGTATGCGTGTGTGTGTGTGTGTAAGAGTTTTTGAAGAGAAAAGTTAGATAATGAAAGGAGAGGCGTAGCGTAAAGAATAGAGTGAAAACAGAGAAGAAAGAAAGGGGAAAAGGAACGAAAGTTAATTGGATGTACTTTCGAGAGACAAACGAACAATTTGAGACGAGAAATGCAATAATCTACGTTGTGGTATAAAATTAGGTGGTGTTGTGTTATATGTGAATGCGGGTCTGCTTTTGTAGTCGTGATTTTTTATTAATTATTTGTATATTTTGGTGGTGTATATTTGCTATATATTGTTTGATTTAATATACAAATATATGTACATGTAATTGTAATGTAGTGCTACGACCCTTTGCTTATCAGAAGCGAATAAATGTGTGATGATTTTTGTTGAAAAAAGAAATGACTGGTTTAATATTTATAATAATAACAATAATATAATCAAATCTGCACAGTTGATTGTTTACTACTTCGAAAATTTACTGTATTGAAATTTCAGAAGAAAAGATTATTTATTAGTTGATCGACATTGAATTATTAAAGAATCGAAGAATTTAGAACACTTGATATTATATATAGTAAACCTTTTACAAAAAGGTTCTCTCGTTGAAAAAAGAAATGATTCCCTTGAAAAGGAAGAAGAGGCAAAAAAAGGAGAGAAAGAAGGGAGAAGAGCGAGAGAGAAAGTAAAAAGCATGGAAAAAATTTTGTCGAAAAAATTCTAATAATTATATAGTGGTGGTGTGTGCACGCGTAATTTTTTTGTGTCAATGATATGTATCAATGACTAGTGAAATTATTTTTGTTGACAGTTATTGATGCGATATCATTATTATATTAATTAATAATAGCGTAATCTTCATGTACGCCACCATATAGTTTGCTTATATTATAGTTTCAGCAAAGAGAATCTCCATTTCGAAGTTTATGAATTAAACCAACTATTGCTATTGTTATTCGACGATTCATTTTTTTTTGTCAGTTATTTTTAACTTTAGGTTATTCCTAATATCGAGTGGAAAAATTAAGAAGCTTTACCAAATATAGGTCTAATTATTTAAATCCACATTTTTTTAATCTAAACTTGCATTATCCATTATCTTCTCCACACCACACACAAAGACAGATAAATTTTTGGCTGAACATGTAATTATTATATTTTAATTTAATTTAAATTGCCAATGAGGTATTATTTAAAAATAGATTGTCATTTAGGTACTTCCTAATTAATTAGTTTGATTTTATAGGCCTACATTTATACCACGTGGATTTAATTTGTTATCGTTATTGTTATTTGTTTATGATTTCTGTTTATTGTCTGGAGTAGGAGACTAAAAATACAAAATTGTTTGGGCAATCCTTTTTTTTTCCTAAATAGAATGACCTTTGAAACATAAAGACAATAATTTCAAATTACAGTATGAAAAATTTTGATCTAGCTTTTGAGATGTAACAACATTAAGATTGGATTTTCGCGCGAATTCACGTGTAACATGCACATCAAAGTAACGCGAATTAATTTAATTAATAGATTAAAATAAAAAAAAGGTATACATAATTGACTCATTGAACAAATTAATTCGATGAAGATATATTAATTAGATCTCTCTCTCAAACAAGGGACAGGGATTCTAATGTTCTAAATTACGTCGGTTTATTGATCAAGAAACAAAGAATTAATTAAACTTCGAATTAATATGAAATAAAGAATATGTTCGACGGAAGGTCTATTTAGAGTTATGATATATCACAGCTGTTCAGGAACAGTTCGAAATTTGGCGCATGGTAAAGAACATTATTTTGATGCCTATATTAAACAGGTCTTGTTAAAAAAAATCTAACTCAGGTAGTATTTATTAATATATAATGTATAACAAAGTGAACCAGCTAATAATAGCCTTTTAACCCTCTTGATAGAAAACGATTTTTAAGCATAAATAAAATTTGCCATTCTATGCTCTGTGCGATGATAGTCATTAAATTCTAATCGCTTAGAGGTGTTGATAGAAATTAATTAAACTTAATCTTTAATCAGAAAATTCATAGAATTTTTTTCCGGTTTTGGAGAACAGAACTTGAGCATTTGTGCCCCATACAATCGTTATCAATGGATAAGCTATTTCAGGTTAATTAATAATTACTTTTCATAAATTATAAACGCGACTTGCATACACGTGCATCTGAGACTTCGACCTATTCTTACACAATTTATTGAACTACTATTAAAAGGTAAATAATACTTTCATTATAAAGTTAAAAAACATTAAATATATAAGAAGCTTTTTAACTGTCTCAAGCATAAACAAAAGCAAGAATTGACATACTGATAAATACAAAAAGTCCTTATTCTATAGTTTATATTCTTTTGCTATAATACTTTTTCGTTTATATTCAAAGTTTTGTTTCGGAGACACTATATTCTATTAAAATGACAAGTTACATCGCATCGCTCGTAAGGATTAAAAAAAATTTCTGTAAGGCTAAATTCATTTGCTAATTGCTTCTATGGAATAGCACACATCGGAATAATTCCGCAACCACCCACACATTTAAACTATTCCCAAGCAACCGATGACGTTGAATTATGCTAATGTCATCGGTGAATTCTAAATATACCGGATTTATTGAAGAGACTAATAATTTCGGATTAAATGCTCTTGGAATATTTGCCAGTTTTGTTGCATCAGAATCCTCCGCAAAAGAAGTGTCTTGTTCCGGTGAATTCTCTGAAGTTTCGTGTGGTGTTTCAAGTGGTTTAATTGGAAATGCATGAAGCCGCGCAACCTCAAGCGGTGTAAAGAAACGTAAACCTAACTCGAGTAAAGATCCTGGATTTGTGAAATCGTATTCTGTTACCTAACATTAATATATACATGTGTAATTGTGTACATGTATTTGTTTATTTAAATTAAAATGTACTTGTCTGGTCATCTGAATACCTCAATTTTTTTCGTCTGAAGAAAAGAACCTGATCCAATTATATGATGACTACCATAAGCCTTATTTACAGAATAACAAACATCAGTAAAGTTAAAATACAATTGGATATTTTGACAAATCCCAACTTACTTTAGTAAAACAAGAGCTTTTACGGTGAGAAGCTTGCACTATATCTATATTTGATTTAACGGCTTTCTTTAATAAATGAATTTTTAACTCGATCAATCTTCAAACTCACCATACTTGAAATTGAATCTCTTTAAAATATATTTTTCAGGAACTTTATGAAGTTCCATGAATTTTTCAGCATCCATTCCAGAATCAGTATTTATGTTCTCCAAGAAATTCGATAATTGGGGAATATCTATATTGAAATTTTCGTTTCCATTTAACATATATGGAAACGGCCAACTTGTATATATTTCAGCATTTGACAAATAATCTAGCGCTTTCTCAGCATAATTGTGTGTTTCATTGTCTTTTTTATGTGCCATTAAATAGTAACGTTTTCGATCATTTGGCATACCGAATTGTAAAGGACTTAAAATGCATTCACGAATTTCATAATTCATTCGAATTAGTTGGCATACAAGCTTTTCTCGCGATTGTGATTTCTAAACATGATACAATACAAATTATCATTGATCGAGTTATCAGAAGCCTATCTTCGAGCTATTGAAAATCGTTCAAGCCTTTTAGAATAAAAGAAATTCACCTCAAAATTCACCACATTCTCCAGGAAAATATAACGAGGAGGTTCACGCAACTGCGGCAATAATTCAATCAAGTGAAGCAAAGGTTTTGCTCTTGTATCTTTATCATCTAGATTTTTCCCGCCTCGAGTATAAGGCTGACATGGCGGGCTCATTAGCCAGCAATTCGCATCGTATTTTTCAATATCAGCAGTTTTTAGTACTTCAATTGATGTCTTTTAGAAGAGGGGATTAATTTTATAAGCATTAATTAATTATTCGATCAAAAAAATTTTTTCTTACTGTCACAGGGTTCGTCCCAAAATTGAACCGATATACAGAATTAGCGACAATATTCAAATCGAAACTTGCCACAATTTTACCTTTTACCCCACTAGTATTAAATGCGTAACGCTAAAATAAAAATTTTTAGAACAATAGTAGAAATAAATAAATATTACAAATTAATTAGTTTACCATCCCTCCTATCCCTGAAAAAAATTCTATACACTTGATTTCAGTCAATGATTTCATAATTTTTTTTTAATTAAAAAATGAATGAAAATTATCAGGAAGAAATATTTCGACAGTTAAGTTGAGCAATTAAAAAGATTGCGGAAGAAAATTATTTTCTTAATTCGGTTAGATTCGGCAAAAAGAAATCCAATTTTAGCTTTATACATGTATCGATTGTACTTGTCATACCCAAAAAAAACATTCGATCGAGTATCCACAACGATAACCAGTGTTGAGAACATTAATTTGTAATTTTAGGTTCTCAAAAATTTTTAATGTCCGCAACAATATATCGACTTGATCAATTTGTTGAATATATACACACAATTTGAAAAGATTAAGTTTTCAAATGTTCTTGAGAACATTAAATTTCCAACAATGTCCCATAACGATAAGTAAAAATTTTTGATGTATTTTCTCTTTTAGGAATATATCATTGCCATATTTCTCTGCGCCGGTCGTCTAATTGTTTTCACATAAAAAGAGGTGAAGATATCGCATTGGATCACAATTTCTTGTGAGAGAAGGTTTCGTATCTCAGTAATTGGATAGTAATCAATATTTATTGTTTTGATTTATAAAACTGTACTTGCTAATTAAACGAACATCTTTTGACAGCCAGTAAAAGCATAAAATGATTCGGTTCAAAACCTTATCAATATCATATTTTTGCATTAGTATCAATATCAATATACATATTCCCAATTAAAAACCAGATAAAAATATAATTTTTTAATATTACAAAGTGTGGGACTCAGCCTGTAGTATTTTTATTCTAACGTTTCTGATATTACTGATGACTTTAGCCTTTTACTTCTGGCCTTTCACTTTTTAAATCATTCACCGGTTTTTGTACCTCCAAGAAATATGTCCTGGAGCTTTTTAGCATCACATTGAGTTTGATACATGTAAGGTCTTTCGCATCCAATCATCTTATCTAAAGATATTTGTTACGCTTGCGGTTCGATAAAGCTGATTAAATTTTCGTGTTTGACTTCTTTTACACTAACCAGTTTTGAAGTTTCAAATGAACATATTGCGTAATCAGACAGCCCATGCTCATTAGATCCTTCAATACTGAATCGCGGTTCGATTATAAACCGGTTATCACGCGATGATTTTTCATCACAAGACTTAAGGTTAGGACAAATTATTGAATACCTGTGAGAGGTGTCTGCGACGAGAAACAAACTTCAACGCAACTATTTAATTCGTGAGAGGTATGTGCACGTATTATGAAAATCTAACCCATCGTCACAATAGGGCAAAGCACATACGCGACAATTGTCCCCAACCCATCCTCGCAAGAAAATGGGCTTAGGACGAATTATTGAGAGGTGTCTGCGACGAAAAACAAACCTCAACGCACTATTTAATTCGTGATATAAAAAAAGAAGTATGTGCAAGATCTAACCCATCGTCGCAAGAAAATGGGCTTAGGACAAAGCATCTATGCGATAATTGTCCGTAACCCATCGTCGCAAGAAAATAGACTTAAGACGAATTATTGAGAGGTGTCTGCGACAAGAAACAAACCCGCACTATTTAATTCGTGAATAAAAGCAAGAGAAGTATGTACACGTATTATGTTGATTGGTTTACCACCTAAAAATCGCATGATCCGTAACTTTTTTCGCCCTAATAAATTTTACTATCTAATCGAAGAAACAAGTAGATGTAAATCAGATCAGTTTTTTGCGATATTAATATTAATGATTATTTTATTAATTAAATTATAATTTGGGATTGTAATTGAAACTATAATTTGGAATTAGAATTAGAATTTGGAATTGAAACTATAATTTGAAATTGGAATTATAAATTGGAATTGGAACTATAAACAAAATTCAAAACCCCAATTTCAAATATAATTGAAATATCACAATTAAATAAATGGGTCTGGATCTCATTCCTAGTTTTGATAGCATCCATCATGAGTTAATCAACCTCTTTTACCTTCTTCTATGTGTGAAAGAAATACAAATACATATTTTATTTTTATACAATTCAAGACATATCTTTCATATTGTAATGCTGAATTAATAGAATTTGCTAATAGAACAGATTCTGAGTCTTTTTTAATATGTTTTGACAATGATTTTTGTATGTTTCATCTATAGCACCAGCCATCATATTAAAAATACTTGCTTTCCAGTTTCATTAGCTTGTTGGTATATTATATGTTTAAAACTATTTATTGCTCCTTCTGGAACTGAATTTTTCTGATTTTTACTTTTATTTTTTTATGAGTCACATTGATTGAATATAACGAAACCTGGATAAAACGAATTTTCATTTATAATGAAAGTTTCTGATGTACCAAATATATTATACTGAAAAACAGAGTAAAACGGACCACTTCGTTATATCCAGGTTCACTGTGTATATACATGTTCAAGCTGGTTAAAATTGATATTACATATAAAAAAAGATACCAGCTCTCGGTATATCAAGATAAAGTCTGTTGCGAAACAGAAGTAGAGCTTCGTTATTTGGACAATATGCTACTTCGTAGCAGAAAATAAAGTTATATCTCTGACACATAAATTAAATAAGGATTAAATATTATGCTTTTAATTCTAAAAGGCGCTTTTGGAATCTATCCCGCAATTGATTTTTTTTTTAGAACCTAACCAGTCATATGGAATATAATATTCATCATATGTTAAAATTCTAAATTCGATATCAGTGGAAAAATCTGTTATATTCTTTTATAAACTCAGCAAATTCCTTAGCATAACGTAATTTAAATTGATTCAAAGATATGGGATGTTTCACTTTGTAAGAAGTTAAAGTTAGAAATTTTCTATCATCTGGAGTATTGTCATTTGGCAAACTATTCCAAGCTCTAGTTGCTAATGATTTAGGACTATTATGTAAGGCCTTCTGTATATTTCTTGCATGTTCAGGATCGGTTTTAGGATGAGGACAAGAATGATCCCAGTAGTCTTTAGTGACAAGAATTTCCGGCAACCATGGTGATGTTTTTTAAATAAATAGTCATATGACTTCTATGAATACATAGTGAACCTGGATATAACGAAGTGGTCCGTTCCATTTTTTTGGTATAATCAGGTTTTCATTATATTCAGTAGAAAATTATATAAAAAAATTGGGTACGTCAGAAAACTTCATTATAAATGAAAATTCGTTTTATCCAGGCTTTGATACATATAATCGAAATTTACAAATTTACCCCTCCCAACCAATGATGCAAATAAACAAACTTTTCAGTATTTAATAAATTTCTGTAAAAGAATTCCAACTCGTAATCCCCATTGAAATGGATTTTTACCCTGTTTTATAATAGATAAATTTTCATTATCGAAAATCTGATCAAGTTTATTACCATAACCTCCAAAATATTTTGAAATATTTGTAATATCATACTTCATATCATAACCAGGACGGATATTAAATGGTTTAGGTAACGTTATCAATATCAAAATCAACCATATTTATAATTAATTTAACGAGCTTATAAAAAAGTAAGGAATCTTCGATTCATATAATTTGAGGTTATTTTATCGTTTTTTATTATTTTTTGACCTAAAGGTTACATGATTCAATTTTTTGTTAAATTCTGTTTGGATCAATTTTTTATATATGGGGAAGAGTAATATACGTAAATAGGAGTTTAACCCCATAAGGCCTGCTTTGCAGAAATGTTGGTAAAAACAACGTATTTATATGATGGATCACACACCACCCGCATAACTACATAAGTGTAATATATATTTCTATCACCATGTCGTACAACCGACTATAATCCTTCTCTGCCTGAGTTTCAATCAATGAATTTACATATTCTTCTTTTCGATCCAATTTCTGCAAAACAACAGGTGGATCACCATTACGAATGAGATATAGTGCCATAATCGAACGACCAACACGTCCATTACCCTCATAAAATGGGTGAATATGAAGGAAGGCTTCAAGTAATCGACATGCGATCATAATAGGGTGAATGCTGCCATTTTTAATCCTGTCATCGCGAAATTGCAAGAATCTTTCCATCAGCGCAGGCACTTCTCTTCCATACTATAGAAACCAAAAAGTAAGCCATAATCTAATCTTGATAAGCGAGGAATAATAAAAACTAGAACTCACCGGATAAACAGTCTAATGATAACCTCGTGCTTGCATTGACACGTTCGAAACCTTCCTGCTTCTTGGATATTGCCCATACACTAATTTTCTCCTGAGGAGTATCTTTTAACAAAATGTAGTGGACCCTTTTAATCTCATCAATGTTTACTTCCCGCTCTAAATTGTGCAATTTATTGTTTAAGTAGTAGGTTGCAAGTAAGTGATTACGGATTTTAATGACTTTATTTTCAGATTTATCGGAAAGCGATCTTGCATCTGGTAGCTGTATTTCTTCAGGTTCCAAGAGATCATCAAGATTATGGTCCTTGTTCATTCTCCTCGAATTTTTTTCTGAATCTTCAATTCCTAATGAATTCCCTTCCATGGCGCAACTTTGATGCGAAAAAATCACACTCATACGTCTCAAAAGTTCTGAAGATGAGAGTTTGGAGCCATATTTAAGGGAATCGATCATCGGTAGTTAAAAATCATCTTTTGCTTGATAATCTATTGAGAAAGAAAATCAAATTAGAATTCCGACGAGAAAGATTGCAAAGAATTCGCGGTTCATACCATAATCCTGAACACGCCATTCAGATGGATGAAAGCAGTTCTCCCAAATTTTCCCAGAAGTAGCAAGTTCATTCCGTTCTTTCGTAACTTCCTTAAGTTTTGAAAAAGGAGTGTAAATCTACGCGATAAGTAGTTTGTGGTTAAATATCGAATTAGTAATAACAATGCTTAGTAATATTCATTCAACAATATATTTCATAAAGCGAAATCAAAAAATCTTTTTCTCTCAAAGTGCCAGGACGTGATTTTTAGAGGGAAATAGCAGGATATGAGATATTCATAAGGTTAGGGAATTAAAGATTATATTGTATATTACGCGGGACAAATACGTATAGTAAAATTTCGTAAGGAACATTTTTTGTAAGAATGCAGGAAGTTGTTTCATAGGCGAAATTTCGAGATAACTTCTTTAATAGAAAGTATGCCAAAACATAAAGAATATATAATGACTCTTATTTCATAGAAATATTGTCTCAAATTCTCAAATTTAAATTATGAACCTTTTTCTCGAAATTGGTGGCTTTCACATCCTACAGATATATCATTATCTTACAATTACTTTTATTCTATATATGTCAGAATGAAAACTAATTTCTAGTATAGTGATAATCAAAAATAATGCAACATTAAAATGAAAATTTTCAAATGAATGTATCTCCTTTAGCTTAAAAGTATCATAATCATGATTAATATGATTAAATGATACAATCCTATAGTTTAGCTTATCATAAATTCGAAGTATATTGTTTAGTTAAATTTTCAATTTAGATTATCGTTATCACCTTGTATAGCTATCATAAATCTTAATTATAGTGGCGATCAAAAAGTAATGTAACGCAAAAATTGAAAATTGTCAAATCGTGATATATTTATAAGTAGCTAGCAAAATTTAATAAAATTAATAATTATGGTACATTAATAGTACCAGTTTTATTTATTAAAATTTAATTTACTATTATTAAACACAATTTTGAGATAAATATGTGAACTCACACAAATGCGTGTTGCATTTCTTTTGATCTTTTATTCAAAAGATCAAATGGTAAGTAATGCTATACAGAAGTCACAAAATGAATAATTGTTTTGTTTATCTTTTTTTTCTTAAATTATGTTACAGCTTTTTAACAATAAAAAATAAACATTAAAATATCATATGACTCTTGAAGAAAGAGCTGAAATAATTATTTCACTTTAAAATAAATATATCACAAGAGAAATAGCAAGAACTTGCAAAATTAACTCTTTCATCATCTCACATATTAATAAAAAATGGCACACATAGCATATTTTAAATGATAAAAGTAAATCTGATTATTCATGATTATTAAATGACCAGTTAGAAAGAATAACAGTTCATCTTATTATATCTTATGACTATTTCATTGCTATTATCATTCAAAATTATTTGTATAAAATTAAGAATATTGAAATTTCAGAGCATATATTTATTATACACTAAAAAAGAATGATTTAGTAGTAAGAATAAAATAAAAAAATTATATTTAAAGTTTAAATATCAATAATATCATCTTAAGTTTATCAAAAATACAAAAATAGAATTTATAAAGATTGATCAAAGATGATAAATTTAAGTTTTAGATTTTTAAATCTGATTAAAAATAGTACTATTAGAAAAAAATAAATAAGTTATTATATTAAATTTATAATAAAATTTGGTGATAAAAAAGTAATAATATGAATTTATTTCATATTTTATGATATTAATAACTTTTATAAGATTAATAGAAATATAAATAATATATTATATTAATAAATTCTTGAAAAAAATCTTATAAATACTATCAAAAAGTATGAATTTATTATCAATAAGATTATTTTTTAATAAAATAATAATTCTAAATATATAATTAATTTAATGAAAGAATAATTTGATGATAATAATATTACTATTTTAAATTGATTAATATAATTATATAATCTAAATTTAATTAAATATTTATAAAATAAAATAGATTATTACCTTTAATATCTTTCTAAATTAATTTTAGATATGAAAAACTTATAAAAAAAATATAATGGATTTGAAAGAAAATTAATATGAATTATTATATAAATTTAATTTATTCTATATTAGAAAGAATTTATAATATAATAAAAATATATAATAATTATACTAAATAATAGTATATTAGATATAATTAAAAAATATAATATTTTATATTGAGAATTATACAAATTTATATTAAAAATAAGTAAATATAATATAATACTAAAAATTAAATAAATATTATTATTATAATATAATTAATTTAATAGTTTGTATTAAATTTATTATATTTAAATTCTTTATATATATATAATTAAATCTATCAATTATAATTTAATATTCTTAAGTTTGTATAAAAATATTATAATTTAATAATTTTTAATTTTATATTATATTACTTTTGATTATCATCATATATTAAAAATTTTTTATATGAATTTAATAAGATAAATAGTAAAGTTAAAGATTAATTCTAAAATAGCTTTTAAATTATTCTAGAAATTTAAATAATATATGAATTTTATATATTAAAAATACTATCAAAATTAATTTATATTATTATTTTTAAATATTATTTATATACTTATTAAATAACTTTAGAATATTAAATAATATACACATACAGTGTATGACAAAAAAACTTAACTATACTAAATTCATCATAAATTCATGAATATTACATCAAATTTACTGATTAATATATCATTTTAAAGCAAAAAAGTTATAGAATAAAATTTATTATACTTAAAAATTGATTTAT